TAGAGGAGGCAAGTGACACTCAACAGGATAAATAAGCAGCCCAAGGTCACACAGCTAGCAAGTAACGGAGATATCTGAACCCAAGATTCCAGTGTCCATGGGCTTTTCAACTGTCCACATGGCTACTCATGGACATGAGGTAGTGTTAGTCACTGACCAGCTATTGACACTTTGTGCTGTGTTATTTGTACAAACTGTGTAACTTTATAGGGCCTGTGACACTTTTCTTTCTACAAAAAGTCTCTCTCTAAAAGTTGAAACATATAATAGCCAAGTGAGGAAGTTTACATTTTAATGAATCAATAATGTATTTTTTCTTAAATATCAGAGATAACCAAAATCTTTTTTTCTTTCTTTTTTTTTTTTTTTTTTTTTTTTTTTGAGACAGGGTTTTGCTGTGTCACCCAGGCAGGAGTGCAGTGGCTCGATCTCGGCTCACTGCAACCTCCACCTCCTGGGCTCAAGCAATCCTGCTTCAACCTCTGCATAGCTGGGACTACAGGCATGCACTACCAAGCCCAGCTAATTTTGTTTTCGTGTTTTTGGTAGAGACAGGGTTTTGCCATGTTGCCCAAGCTGGTCTTGAACTCCTGGGCTCAAGCAATTTGCCCACCTCAGCAGAAATAACCAAAATCTTAATTTGACTAATGGCTGCTATAGTAAAGTCTCTTTAAAATACACAACTGAAGGGTTTTTTTTTTTAAGAAAAAAAAAAACAGCATAATTTCTTTATGATTTTATAAACATTCTCTAAAGTATCATCTTGACATTTTATAAATAAAAATTTTCCCCAAAAATACTAACTAGCACTCATAATTTAAAATAATCTGTTGGCTGAGCATGATAACTCACACCTGTAATCCCACACGTTAGGAGGTCAAGGCAGGTGGATCACTTGAGGCCAGGAGTTTGAGACCAGCCTGGCCAACACAGACAAACTCCATCTCTACCAAAAATACAAAAATTAGCTGGGTGTGGTGGTGCACACCTGTAATCCCAGCTACTCAGGAGGCTGAGGCATAAGAATCGCTTGAGCCTGGGAGGCAGAGGTTGCAGTGAGACAAGTTTGCACCATTGTACTCCAGCCTGGGTGACACAGCAAGACTCTGTGTCAAAAAAATAAAAAAAAATTAAAAAAAAATAAAGTAAAATAATCTGTCAAAGAGTTTTAGAGAGTGTTGTACCTATCAAAAAATTTGCTAATGGCAAATGGCACGTGTGTCTTAACTCCAGGCACGTGTGTCTTTGATAAGCACGATTGCTTCAATGAGCAAAGTTATTTTCAAAACACAGAGAATGCTGAAATTAGCATCACTGCATACTGATAAGTACAGTACATGTACCTTTTAGGATTCAGCCACTCAACAACCAAGTGAGCACAAAGAAAAAGCTTGGGTAGACTGACGACGAAAATTCAGTAAACCAGAACAAGCTCCTCAACGGAAGCATCAGGGATATGACACGCGGAGCAGCACATGGTTAAGAGTCCTTTAGGACTGTTTTAAGACCCGTGACAACATCTGTGCTTGCCTCCTCCTCCATCCTTCAGCTATTACTGTTGGTTAATTTGGTTCAAATCAAGTTCGCACCATTCCGGGAACTCCTACTTAATTTTAAATTATGGCCCCTTCATAGCCTCGTCAGGGCTCTCGGCTCCCCCAGTGTGGAGAGTCCCAACTGAGGACGGCTGCAGAAGCATTGCCGACAATGATGAAAACGAAGGGATGGGGCAGACATGTGAGGCAGGAACAGAAAACAGAAGGCAAAGCCTCTCTTCTCCATAATGTGGGAGTTAGGACAAATCAAAAGACGACTGCTCTGAGTCAGCTCAAGGAGAAACACTGATGTTGCCATAGATCTTTTAATGCTGCCCAAACATGTTAATATGGTTATAGTTTATCACCTGTAAGACAACTTTTGTATATCTGTTACTAAACACTATTGTGTTTTGCTGTGACCTGTTACGTATTGAACCCAGGAAAATATTCCAATTATATATATTATATTTTGTTTCAATACATCCAAAAACAAAATAATAATATATATATATTTTTTCTTTTTTCAAAGCAGTGGATAATAAATTTTATGGTCTTAAACATACTTCCTGCTTCTTCATCTAGAGCCCTTAGAAGTGACATATTTCTCCCAACGAGAGACGCTATGCCCATTCTAAGACAACTATTGGGTATAGTCATGACACACGCAGGCATGCTGAGAGCTCAAAAGCTCGGCACTAACTCTTGGAGATACACCTTATTAGCCTTCCCAGGGTGCTAATAAATCTCCACTATGCAGGGTGCTGCCTGGAGAAACCTGCCTCCTTACCTTTGATATGGGGAATGAAGTGGTGTCGGAAAGGGGGGTTGGGGCGGGAGTCGCTGTGGGTGGGGCTGAGGCTGCTGGTGCGCAGGTACGACAACCTCTGCACACCAGGAGACAAAAGCTCTGTGCAGCAAGGAGTCAGGGGCAGGGCACAGTGGAAACAGAAAAGAAGAACAGAAATTAACACAGGAGCAGGGAAAGTGCCATCGTTCCAAGGGAAAACAAAATAAAGAACGTTAATCAGGAGGCTGAAAAGGGAGGAAGGAGAAAGGCTTAAGAATGCACCTGCTAAGGCTGAGGCAAAGTGGGGGAGAGTGCAAAGAGGTTCAGGCGGGTACAGAGTCACTCTCTGAGAATAAATGGCTTTGGTGAGAAGAAATGGTCACCTGGATGGTCTCTGTTCAGCCAGTAGCAGACACATCATTTAGATTCAACAACAGCTATTTTTAAAAAGCACCTGACAAAACAGAACCCTCTGAAATGCTTATTAAAAAAATGACAATCATTGTATTTATATGTAAGGGTCAGGTTTTTTTTTTGTTTTTTTTTTCTTAAGCAACCTTATCCCACTGTAAGTTGAATTTTATTTTGCCTACATAGAAGGAAAACCTGTTTGTGTTCCCTGTGTGGCAAAGAGGTCTATATGATCCCGAGAACTTCAGCAGGAGTACTGGAGGCTGGAAACTCAGTTATCTCAGGAAGAATGGACCATTCAACTTCAACCCAGACTGAGGGGGTTTTAAATCATCATCTGGCATCTAGAACTTGTGGAGTGGACTCTCTGGGGTGTTCTGTATGGATCACAAGTATGCTATCAGAATTCCTCCAGCTTCACTTTAGAAGGGCAGACCTCAAAATAATAACTATAAAGCCTAACGAGTGGCATCAGGCATACATGTAATATATTGTGAAAGGAACGAAGGAGGAGAAGGTTCTAAAGTCTATTGGCATCAGAACCATGATTGGAACAGATGGAAACTTTCTCAATAAGGACATGAGCTTTTGGGGGAAGAAGTGTTGACTGGCCACTCCCCTCACTATTCAGGGGTCTCTGGAACAACAATGCCCCTATAACCCCACGCCACTCCAGTAACTCCATGGCTGGGGTCTCAGTGACCTCAGCACATGTACATGAGCAGGGTGGCAGCATAAAGGATTTTTTTTTTTTTTTTTTTGACACAGAGTCTTGCTCTATCACCCAGGTTGGAGTGCAGTGGCGCGACCTCAGCTTACTGCAACCTTCGCCTCTCAGGTTCAAGCAATTCTTCTGTCTCAGTCTCCCAAGTAGCTGGGACTACAGGTGCACGCCACCACACCCGGCTAATTTTTGTATTTTTAGTAGAGACGGGGTTTCACCATATTGGTCAGGCTGGTTCTTGAACTCCTGACATCAGGTGATCCACCTGTCTCAACCTCCTAAAGTGCTGGGATAACAGGCGTAAGCCATCACGCCTGGCCCAGCATAAAGGATTTCTTATTACCCAAATAGAAAAGGGCTTAAATCAAGACCCATGTCCTGGGCATGAATAAAATGAGTATGGTAGCCCATGAAATAAGGGAAAAAAATTTCCTGAGAACTTTCATTTAATGTAATTCAATAAAGAGCATAAATATTTACCAGTGTAGAGAAAATTATACATTATCAAAGGATCAAATAGTTTGAATTATCTGCAAGCATTAAATCTAGGGTCTTAGAGAGAAGATTGCAGCCTTTTATCATTCTGTTAATTCCTTTGGTTTTATTTCTTGTACAATTTATTTAAAAAAAAGGTAGCATATGGGTTTGTTCTCATCTACCCATCCAGAAGCAAGAAGCTTAACAGGAAGTCTTCACAGATGCACACTATCACCATTAAGTTTTATTAGAGGCCAGAATCTTCCTTGTGAATCTATTTCTCAGGGAATCTTGGATCTTTACTGGGGTCTCCATTCTTCTCCTACTACACGCAGGAGACACCCACTAGTAGCCACAGACACTAAATTCTCTGCAGATGAAGGTCCACTAAAATCTGCTACTTTGTGGCATTCTCTACTGTAGTGATGCCTAATAATTTTATGTTTTCCAAGTATGATGGAAAATCTTAGGGTTGGAAATGATTTTATGTTTTCTAAGTCTGATTGAAAATCTTAGGGTTGGAAATGATTTTATATTTTCTAAGTCTGATTGAAAATCTTAGGGTTGGAAAGGATCTTAAAAGTGATCAAAAACAGCCCTGAGTCCTCTTTCTAGAAGGTGCTCAACCAAGCATGCTTACTAACACCACATGCCTAGATAAGGGAAGCATAATACATCTGTTAAAAATGGTTAATACTGAATTTTAGATGATGTTGGTATGCCTAGAAAGCACATCAAAATATTTTCTTTGAGAGATCTCCATTTTAAGTCTCAAAGTGAAGATATTTTCGTTAATCCTAATTTTTTTAAAAAACCCTTGCTTCCAGTAGCTCACTGTCAAAATATAATTAATAAATCAAAATGTACACAGCCATAGGATGACTGATGTTTCAAGAAAAGGTACAGCATAAAATATAGTTGGATACCAGTTTTCATTTTGCTCTGGGAGAGGGATGGAAATGTTTAGTCATCGGTTTTTCAATGTGCTATCAATAGTAGGGGAAAAAAATCACAGAAATACAGTTTGTTATATAGAGTGAATCCCAGGAACAGTCACCCTTACCAGGTCTGTGGAAATGCTGGGGAGAGCGCGACGTGGTTGGAGTGTAGCTGTGGCGGCTGTACACAGGAGAGTTGATGGAGCCCTGGCTCGTGGACCGATGGATCATCCGATCCCGAACATCCTGGTACCCCTGGAAACAAAGTTCAACACATTCAGGCCATCACCCTTCCTCAGTAGGAACCATGTTTCACAAACATTGCCAAGGAACCACCATGTTTACTTGTTTATATATATTTGATTAATATATGCACTTATTTTTATGTGCAAAATTTACAGGTATTTTATATGCAAATGAGCATTCTGTGGCTAATACATTGTGCTCAAAATCTGCAGTACTTGGGCTTATTACAAAATTTTACGAGCCAAGTGTGGTGGCTCACACCTGTGATCCCAGCACTTTGGGAGGCCAAGGTGGGAGGATGGCTTGAAGACAGGAGTTCGAGAACAACCCGGGCAACATAACGAGACCTGTCTTTACAAAAAATTATAAAAAATTAGCCAGGTATGGTGGCACATGCCTGCAGTCCCAGCTACTCAGGAGTTCAGGCTGCAGTAAACTATGATTGTGCCAGTGTACTCCAGACTGTATGATAGAGTGAGACTCTGTTTCTTAAAAAAAATTTTTTTTAAAGATGAAAACATATAAACCTTAATAGAGATAGGGCTATGGGACAAAAGATAATAATTCCAATGACCATGCTGACATTGTACTTTTCAGTTTCATAAGTATGTTCACATACCTACCAGATCTGCATAACAAGAAGAAAAGGTAGATCACATACTATTACCTCCCTCCCCCTCCCCCTACTAATGTAGAAACACGGTTTCAAGCAGGTAAGAGCCCTGTGTGTAGGCGTGTGACTGGTATGGGCACAGCCTGCTTCAAAACCAGCCTCCTGACACTAATCTCATCCTTTGCTCTGACCACCAACCTACCTATACCGTCTAGAACATTGATCTGGTGACATTTTAAGTAAATTCTCCTGAATAACAAGTTGATGGTTGCCATAAAGTCGGTATTTTACTTCTCACCTTGGGAAACATATTCCAAGAAAATAATTTAAAATGCCCTTTTAAAGGAGGAATAATTTATTCAAATACTTTTATAGTACCACTATTCATAAAGGCAAAAATTTGCGTTACATGTTCAACAAATTGGGGCACAATTAAGAAATTATGACATACGGGCCAGGCATAGTGGCTAATGCTTGTAATCTCAGCACTTTGGGAGGCCAAGCTAGGTGGATCACCTGAGGTCAGGAGTTTGCGACCAGTCTGCCTAACATGGCGAAACCCTGTCTCTGTCTCCATTAAAAATACATAAATTAGCCAGGCGTGGTGGTGTGCACCTGTAATCCCAGCTACTTGGGAGGCTGAGACAGGAGAATTGCTGGAACCCAGGAGGCAGAGGTTGCAGTGAGCCAAGATCGCGCCACTGCGCCCCAGCCTGGGTGACAGAGTGAGACTCTGTCTCAAAAAAAAAAAAAAAAAAGGAAAGTATGACATGTGAATTCAATGGAATATCATAGCACCACTAAAATGTCACCTGTCTCCAAACCTAGAAAAGGATATATTAGGTAATAAGTACAAAGAAACCACATGCACACAAACACAATATAAAACCATCTAAAGAGTTGAAAGAGTACAAAGAATATTTTACATTTTAGGAATCTGTTGTCCTGTGAAATTTCCACTAGCACAATAAAAGTAAAAAGTTTGAAAGAATGCATTAATAATGACTAAATGAAAACCTCAGTAACCGTAACTTTGTGAAATTTGAGAGCAAATGGTAAGCGGAAACTTTGGCTTGATACTAGTTGTCTTAAACAATAAATTAAATAAAACAACAAAACAAAAAGTCCCCAAATTATGTGCTTCAACCTTACACAGCTGGTCAACAGAAATTAATTCTTCATAAATTCAATGCAAATTATTAGAATATAGGTAGAAATTAATAATTCATAGCACTCAGTCATAAACCATAAAAACATTACAGTATTTTTACTACTCTGAATTACAGAGATTCCCTAAAAGCAGTCCAGTTTCATAATATCCAGAAAGTTGCTTGGTTTTAGGATCAGATGATTGACTTCAGACTAAACAGAGTAACCTCCCATCAAGATGGCTCTGCTTAAAGAATATGCCATGACTGCTGTTGGCCATTTCAGTTTATTAGGGTTCAGAAAAATTAATTATAGATATATCTATATATAGATAGATATATACATTGGGACAAGTGACTTATGTCCCTGCAGACACTTTCCTTCCACTTAGAGGCACAGACACAGATTAATGTGAGGCCATTTTTACTCCCTGGTCTCCAATTTAAGAGGAATATACTGCTGTTTCTTAGAGTTCCCTCTTCCACAGAAGTAATCCCCAAAACCACCACAGTCCCACATGCAGGTTTTCTGTTCTTTTGTACGTTATGTCCTTTTTCAAAAATCCAAGTCTAGGGAAGGGTCAAGCAATTCTCAAATTCTACCCATTAAAATGGTAAAAAGAAATGGTACTTACTTCTGCTGATGGAGTAGGAGACAAAGTCCTTGGAGACTAGAAAAATAAAAGAGAATTTAAAGTCACAATGTTTGTTAACTCTTTGCTGGTTTTTTTGTTTGTTTCTTTGTTTTTTTGAGACAGAGTCTCTTTCTGTCATCCAGGCGGGAGTGCAGTGGCACAATCTCGGCTTACTGCAACCTCTGCCTCCTGGGTTCAATCGATTCTCCTGCCTCAGTCTCCCAAGTAGCTGGGACTACAGGCATGTGTCACCACGCTCAGCTAATTTTTTGTATTTTTAGTAGAGATGGGGTTTCACTGCGTTAGTCAGGATGGTCTTGATCTCCTGACCTCGTGATCCGCCCACCTCAGCTTCCCAAAGTTTTAGGATTACAGGCGTGAGCCACCACACCTGGCCTCTTTGCCAGTTTAAGAGTTGCTTATCAGAGTCCGCTGGAAATATTAGGCAACATATACTTGCCAGCATCCCTCCCCATCTCCCTGTCTTCTGATCAGGTACAAATGCATCTGCCATGGGGCTCAGACAGGTAGACTCTGACGAAGTTCCGGGGAGATTCTGGTGCACATCTCTGCCTAAGAACCATCAATAGGCCAGGTACAATGGCTCATGCCTGTAATCCCAGCACTTTGGGAGGCTGACGTGGGTGGATCACGAGGTCAGGAGATCGAGACCATCCTGGCTAACATGGTCTCTACTAAAAAGTACAAAAAATTAGCCGGGTGTGGTGGCAGGTGCCTGTAGTCCCAGCTACTCTGGAGGCTGAGGCAGGAGAATGGCGTGAACCCGGGAGGTGGAGCTTGCAGTGAGCTGAGATCACGCCACTGCACTCCAGCCTGAGACAGAGCGAGACTTCCTCTCAAAAAAAAAAAAAAACAAAACATGAATAGATATGATTGTGATACATACTTAGGTGATTAAGCTAAACAAGTTGGAACCATTTCCCTTATATATTCAAACCATGCTCATTTTACTCTGATGAGTTACAGCATCTACTGAAACACAGGATCTTGTTCACATGGTTGTTGACTAAATTGCAACCACAGCAGTCACCATAAAATAGTTCGAGAACTAAAATAGGACTTTGGTGACTAGGCATGGGGCATCCTGCCTTGGCTGCCTCGCCAATCTCACTACCATTCACCTCTAGCTTCCATCCTCCTAGGCTCACAGGCTTCCTTGGGGCCATCAACAAGCCAAGCCTTCTGTCACCTCAGGGTCCTTGCACTTGCTGTCTCTTCTGCTGCCAGTGCTTTTCACCCAGACACCTGCAGGGCTCATTCCCCGTCAGCGCTGACGTCTCTGCTCAAACCCACTGTCACACAGCATCTCCGTGACCATTCTATCGAGAGGAGCAACCCAGCCCCAGGTACGCTTTCTCTTTACTGTGCTTCATTTTTCCTCAAAGCCCTACCACTCTGTAAAATTACATTACATGTCTGTTTTTTTACTGTCTGTCTCCCACACAATGCCACAAGCTCCGTGAGGGCAAGCACTGTTTGTTTACAACTACATATTCCCAGTGATGACAGCAGCTCCTGGGACATAGTAGTTGCTCAACAAGTATTTTCCAAATGAATAAAATGTTTACAATTAAAATGCAAAAAGCTTTCACAAAGAAATGAAATGCAAACAGAGCTATGGAGAACACAGCCAGGGGTGGACTTCTCCGTTTTAGAATTTGCCCTTTGCCCCACATTCTATAGTAAGTGGGCGGACTTTCTGTATTCCAAGCCTTCACAAGCTCCACGGTCTCCTCTGCAGCTATAGCCTGTCTCTAGGGGGTCTCAGCTAGGTGAAGGCTCGTCTCAAGGTCAGGGCCCAGGTCTGCACCTGCACTGATAGCAGGGCCCTGGAGGCACCAACGGCTGCACAGAACTAAGCTGACTCTTGCAGTGTTTCTTAAATGGCAATATGTATAAAGGCCAGGTGCGGTGGCTCACACCTGTAATCCCAGCACCTTGTGAGGCCGAGGCGGGTGGATCACTTGAGGTCAGGAGTTCATGACCAGCCCAGCCAACATGACGAAACCCCGCCTCTACCAAAAATAGAAAAATTAGCCTGGCTTGGTGGCACCTGCCTGTAGTCCCAGCTACTTGGGAGGCTAAGGCAGGAGAACTGCTTGAACCTGGAAGGCGGAGGTTGCAGTGAGCCAAGATCGCATCACTATACTCCAGCCGGGTGACAGAGCGAGACTCCATCTCAAAAAATGCAATATGTATATGAGGTCTATAAAAGAAGTGTGTTAAAAACTAACGGAATAAATAATAGAACAGCTTGTAAAGTTCTCTCAGTTGTAAGATGCAAGTATTGGGAAAGAGTTCACTAATATGTCTGATTTCTGATCCCAGGGGCACCCTCTATGCATAAAGAAAACCGTGGGACATCATTCCAGGTTATGACAGTAACTATAGTGGCTGATTACGAGAGTAGCCGGCATTTTTCTTAAGCACTTATTATGTGCCCAGTACTGTTCTAATGTAAATAGCTCACTTACTCTTTACAGAAAACTTCTAACGTAGGTATTCTTGTTCTCTATCTTGAGTTTGCAGATAAGGATGATTGAAGTATATAATTTCCCCAAAGTTATATGGTTAGTCAGTACCAGTCTGTTATTTTATTTTATTTTATTTTATTTTTTGAGACAGGGTGTTGCTCCGTCACCCAGGCTGGAGTACAATGGCATGATCATGACTCACTGCAGCCTCAACCTCCTGGGTTCAAGTGATCCTCCCATCTCAGCCTCCCAAGTTGCTGGGACTACAGGTGTGTGCCATCACGCCTGGCTAATTTTTGTATTTTCTTTTTTTGCAGAGATGGAATTTTGGTATGTTGCCCAGGTTTGTCTCAAACTCTTGGTCTCAAGCAATCCACCCACCTTGGCCTCCTAAAGTGCTGGGATTACAGACAGAGCCACCATGTCTGGCCGAGTCTGGTTTTAAATGCAGAGATTTTCACCTCAAAGCCCAAACTCTTGAGTGCTTAATGTTTTGTTGCCCTGAACGGAGCTGCTGGGAAACACACACAGACACATACACCACACACAGACACACCCGTGCACGCACACCACGAGCCCCAAATCCTTAACGCCATTAAAAAAAACTCACATCCCCTTGCTTGTATGAGTTAAACATTAGTAAATTCTCATCCACAGGGTCCAAGACCAATCTCTATGCACTTTGTTCAGGAACTTCCCTTGCCTCTTACCCCCTACGAAACTTTGGGGGGTTCAATGCCAACTGACAACCCGGGCCAAGGCACCTGCGCTTGAGAGCCGCCGCAAGTGCAGCTACAGCTAAGTGACCACTAGGTGGCACTACATGAAAATAGATATCACTTCCTGTCACAGGGGCCCTTTCCACGCAGAGTTATTCTCTGGAATAAAACCCAGATGGGAAAGTAAATAAATAAAAGCATCAATATATATAAAATGACAAATAAACATAAATATAATTATCAAATAATATTATACATCTGGAATTGAGAACAAATTAAACAGAATCACATTTTCATGCCTTTTCTTCTCTAAGACCTCAAAGCACTGTGAGATGCTAGATTGTTTATATTGTTTTAACCTTTGTTGAAGAGCTAATTTGTCAGCTATTTGTTAACATCTGTGTGGACTCAAATCAGTCTACAGATGATTCTAATTTAAAAAATAAAACACAAAAAATGACAGTGAGCTGATTGGCCAGGGGAAACGGACTTGGGTAGGCGCCACAGAGAATCTTCAACCCTGGGATGGGACCGGGGAGGGGAGGATCCCAAGGGGCTGAGAGGCTCTGGGTCCCACAGCGGATGGGTCTGTGGGCCGAGTATTAACGAGCCCCAAGAGGACAGGTAGCAACAATGGTAGAGATTGCCACATGCTCAGTATTTCTCCCAAGTCTGGCCTCTGATAATTGCTTTATGTAGATTAGCTTGCTTAATCCTCACCAATACCCTATGAGTTAGATTCTATCATTACCCTATCTGTTTTACACGTGAGGAAACTAGGACCATTTTTCTTATCTTTTTAATATAGAGACGAGGTCTCACTATGTTGTCCAGGGTGGTCTTCAACTCCTGGCCTGAAGCAATCCTCCTGCCCTCAGCCTCCCAAAATGTTGGGATTAGAGGTACAAGCACTGTACTTGGCCCAGGAAACTAGGAGCAGAATGGCTGTCACATGGTCAAAGTCAGACAATCAGCATGTGGTGATCCCTGGGTTGAGACCAGGTAATTTGATTCCAGAATCCTGGCTCACACGCCTGTGCTAGACTGTTGCCCCATGCTCTCTACTTTATTTTTTCTTGTATATTCTAACTTTCTTAAGTTGCTGAAAACTGTAGCTACCAAAATTTAGGGGGGTGTGTTCTCTCTCTTCATGATCCCATGAATATACTTAAAGTTATCACTAGACAACCCCCAGGAGACTCTCACTCCCTTATTTGCTCTGCCCAGCTCACAGAAGCCCTGCCCTCTTTCTCCCCACTCCCTCCCCACCTCCGGACAGTTTCCATCCCAGCATGCTAATGCTTAGCCGTTCTTCACTGTTGTTTGATGTGCCATTGGTCTGTTCTCCCACCTCTCACGATGGGCTTCTGAATACCTCCAAGCACCTGGTCTGGAAATCTGCAAATACTAGGCAGACAAAAGACCACCTGATTTACCTAAACTCCAAATGGTAGTTATTACAAATGTGACAAAAGAGAAGGTAAACTGTTGTACAACTCAAAACCACTAGGAATGTATTACCTCTCCAAGGCTCTGTCTCTCCTGTTTGTCATCATAGCCCGAAGTGTAGAAAGGCTCATAGGTAATAAGATCTGGACGTTCAATGTCATAAATTGCCTTGACCTTGGGAATGGCTGCTAAATCCTTGTAATCCAGGATCTCATTGTCTACTTTTGCCTGGCAAAGTTAACCAGAAAGAACAATTACCTTGCAGTCTCGTTGCTTTGGGAAACTGTTGTTGGCACATTTCCTGTTGTTTAAAAAGTGAAGGCCTTAAAATAAACAAAAACCAAAACATCTTGCCTAGCACAGTTACACTCTTTAGAAGTTGTCCTTTACACCATGTATTAATCATTTTACACCATGTATTAATCTTTTTTTTTGAAAAAGTCACTGAACACTTAGGAAAAAATCTGTGTAGAATTCATGAAATAGATAAACATGCAAACCTTAAGGATAATTTCCTGAATTTATGACAGTGAAGGAAAAAGCTCAAACAGATGGTCCAATAATCCTTTCAGATGGTTAAAAACAAGAACTGCATAATTAATAAACTAAATATTTAAATATCTTTGTGGTAGAATTTAAGAACACTCAGTATCAGCATTATAAAATATATATTTAATCCCCAAATATCTATATGCAATTTAGGTGCAAGAATTTTTTTTTTTTTGAGATGGAATCTTAGGTGCAAGAATTTTTTAAGTCCTGTAACATATTACTACATTTTACAGGTCGTCTGATCACTCTGTTGATGGTCACATATAACTGTAATTACCTAAAGGTAAACATGATTGAGGAGACTGTTCTATAAAAATGAAAATCAGGTCTCATAACAAAAATAGAAATCACTTTGAATTAGTTTTTGTTTTGGATTACCCATTCTGCTATTACAACCCACTAATTTACCTGTCCCAGAAATGTCACTTCCAGAAGTAGATACTTACATAGATAGTATGACCTGGTGAGCCAGGAATACTGGAGCCTGGTCTAGAATAAATACTTTCCGAGGATGTCCTGGTAGGCTGTAAAATAAACAGTGACTTGTAAGATTTCAGACCCTGGCTTCAGAATCTAGACTGTCCTGGGCCCTTAAGCTTTACTAAAAACTCAGCTAGTGAAAAAAAGAAACATTTACCACCTTTTTGAATAAGATAACATACAACCTAGAAGGAAAGGTAAATGCAAACTAGTTGTATGATCCAGTTTTGAAAAGGCGTGGGGAGGCCTTTCTCTGGCCCTTCCTGCTCCTTGTTCCCTACGAGAACTTCTGGTTTACCTTCGAGCATACCTCAAAGCTTCCCATTTCTCTCCTTCTCTACTGCAATAGTCCCAGCCCCAGTCACCACCTCCATTCATCCAGATTATTGCAATGGCCTCCCTGTGCATCTTCTGCCTTCTCCCCTCCCTTCTTCAAATCTACCTGGCAGGCAATGGATAGAGAGACTTTTTTTTTTTTTTTTTTAAGATATAGTTTCTCTCTGTCGCCCAGGCTGGAGTGCAGTGGCGCAATCTCAGCTCACTGTAAGCTCCGACTCCCAGGTTCACGCCATTCTCCTGTCTCAGCCTCCCCAGTAGCTGGGACTACAGGCACCTGCCACCATGCCCGGCTAATTTTTTTGTATTTTTAGTAGAGACGGGGTTTCACCGTGTTAGGCAGGATGGTCTCAATCTCCTAACCTCGTGATCCACCTGCCTCGGCCTCCCAAAGTGCTGGGATTACAGGCGTGAGCCACTGTGCCCAGCCGAGAGACCTTTCAAGAACATCGTTTGGATGGTCACTACTCTGCTTTTGTCTCCAGCATTGATATAGTTTGGCTCTGTCCCCACCCAAATCTCACCTAGAATTGTAATAATCCCCATGTGTCAAGGGTGGGACCAGGTGGAGATCACTGAATCATGGGGGCGGTTTCCCTCATACTGTTCTCGTGATAGTGAATAAGTCTCATGAGACTGATGGTTTTATAAATGGGAGTTTCCCTGCGCAAGCTCTCTTGCCTGCCACCACATAAGACAGGACTTTGCTTCTCATTTGCCTTCTGCCATGATTGTGAGGCCTCCCCAGCCATGTGGAACTGCGAGTCCATTAAGCCTCTTTCCTTTATAAATTACCCAGTCTTGGGTATGTCTTTACTAGTGGCGTGAGAACAGACCTAATACAAGCATCCATTCAGAATAAAATCACAACAAGCAGAGCCTCAGGATTCTACCCCTGCCTTCCCCTCCTACCTCCTCTCTCACCTGTCATCACTCACACAACACAGCGCACAAAGCTTCCCCGGAGTTTTTATCCTCGCTTGCTGCTCCCTCTGCCTGAAATGCCCTAGCTCCAAATTTTACTTGGATGATTCTCTTCCTTCAGGCTTGGCTTAAATATCACCTCCTCAGAGAGGCCCTCCCTGATTCAATCCAGAGTTGGTTCCCTTTGTTTTCTCTCATAGTGTCATTCTTTTTTCCTGCATGAGTAAAATGTATAATTATATATTTATTGGTTTCCTTGGATCATGTCTGTCTCCCTCATTAACTTTAGTCATGCTCTCAGACCTCACAGAGTTTATTTTTTAACCACTGTCTATACCCAATGCTTTCCACAGGTACATAGAAGGTACAAATCCTAGTTGAGGGAATGAGCTAGAATTTATTATTTGTAAACAGATACTTAGTTTGCAGACACTTGACTTATGTTAATTACACGATTTGAGTCTAACTATACAGAGAGTCACTGAGGTAAGGCTAGTGGGTTGGCCTTTGGGAAGGACGAAAGAAACTGGACTTCATAGTATATACTTGAAGAACGTGGAGAGTGAGAGGTGATTATGTGAGCAGGAAGGAAACTTATGAACTAGGATCAGCTGCCTCCTGCTTCTGTTTAACATGTTCTGGAAAGCTCTGCAGAGAAAACTCAAGGCCTCACTTTGGAACACTTCCTCACCTCTGTTGCAGCTATTTCCTAAAGAGGACAACTTACAGTTCTACAATAGGAATAAGACCTTGCCTTCTCAGTAGTGTATCTATTGATGTTTAATACCTTGAATGTGGGCATCACTGAGCCAAAGAAACTCCTTCAGACAAGGGTGTTGCCTCACTATATTGTTCACAGTTGAAACAATGAAGGCAAACATATCTGGCTGATTCAGGTCCGGCAGTGATTAGACTCATCGCTGGAAGACTGTGATCAGTCTTTTTCAGCCAATGCCCCTGGTATCTTCGAGATGCTAGGGTGGAAGTGGGTGGGAGAAATCGTACCACACCCAGGTGGAGGTGCACCAAGTCCATCACTTCTGGGCCTCCTCCCCAGGACCTAGCGTGCACAAGCGCTTTCCTGCTAGAGCTATAGCAATTGCAGGTATATCTCAATATGAGAAAATTCTACCTCTGAGTATGTTGAAAGAGGAAAGACTCACATAACACTATTCAAGAAATGTGCAGCCTGGGTGTGGTGGCTCACGCCTGTAATCTCAGCACTTTGGGAGGCCGAGGCGGGTAGATCACCTGAGGTCAGGAATTCGAGACCAGCCTGGCCAACATGGTGAAACCCCATCTCTACTAAAAATACAAAAAAATTAACCGGGTGTGGTGGCGGACGCCTGTAATCCCAGCTATTTGGGAGGCTGAGGTAGGAGAATCGCTTGAACTTGGAAGGCAGAGGTTGCAGTGAGCCGAGATGGTGCCACTGCACTCCGGCCTGGGCAACAAGAGCGAAATTCCACCTCATTAAAAAAAAGAATAATAAATTGCAATTTCTAGATCCATTTCCTAATCAAAATACAGAAGTGGCACAATCAAAATGTATTCCTCCTTTACAAGGAGATGCTGCCCCCTGAAAATGCTGAATCTATATCCATCTCTGTGGGATAATTATTAACCACAGGTAGTCCTTCAGCTTCAAGTGGCCAGGACCTCCCATTTGCCAAACTTAACGTCAAAATGAAGCCTCTTAAGTAGCAACCCAAGAATATCAATGGCAGCGAATATCTACTGCCCACTTACTATGTGGCAGGCCTGTGCCCAGCGCTTCCCAGGCTTAATCTCATGTAATCTTCTCAGTAACCCTAGGAGGTACCTTCCATTACTATTCCTATTTTACAGATAAGGAAAAAGTATCAGTACTCCAAGCCACATAGGTAGGAAACGGATGAAGAGTCAGGATTTGAACTCAGACACTCTAGGTCCATAGCCCAACCATTTAAGCCCTGCACTAAAATTTTGCCTGTATTGTAGGGTGAGTGTGATCACTTATTTCCCATCAACACAACTATGGGACAAATGGGATAAAACTAATAGAGAAATATTGAGATCAAGTAGCAGAAAAGAATGTCTGCTAACTGAAAATATTTTTATTGCACCAGCTCTGTAAGAACACTGCAATAGCTCACTGGGTTGGGGTAGGGAGAGGGTATGCGGCAGGGGCATCAGATTTCTTCAGTTACTGGGGTTGCTATGACAAAAGTCTGTTTTCATTAACAAGCATCCAGGACATTGTGTGAACAGCCAAAGTGTACACTGGGGCTTTGAGGTCACTCGTATGTTACTCATCCTTATTTTTGCCAAGTGTGGGGCAAGGATACTTTCGGCCTTTGCTGTAATGATGCACCTGGGATGGCTCTAAATGGTTTTATTTGCTCTTGTACTGCATGTACTGGTAGAAACAGAGCTGAAGAACAACGCACACACATGTAGGGAAGGGTCTTTAACGCCACCTTCCGGGGATGAAGAGTTTCATGGGCAGAAAAGGCAGTTCTCTTGGCAGAACTAGCCTATTTCAGTTCAGTTTCTCTCTCCCTTCCTTCTTTGAGACAGAGTTTCACTCTGTCGCTCAGCCTGGAGTGCAGTGGCATGATCTTGGCTCACTGCAACCTCTGCCTCCCGGGTTCAAGCGATTCTAGTGCCTCAGCTTTCCAAGTAGCTAGGACTACAAGCGTGCGCCACCACACCCGGCTAATTTTTGTATTTTTAGTAGAGATGGGGTTTCACCACATTGGCCAGGATGGTCTCAAACTCCTGACCTCATGATTTGCCTGCCTCGGCCTCCCAAAGTGCTGGGATTACAGGCATGAGCCAGAACGCCTGGCCTCTCCCTTCCTTCTTGGCCGGATTAGAGGATCCTGTGAGTTATGCAGGCCTTCTTGGAAGCATTTACCTGTTTGTGTTTACACTATTAATATTGTTGAGCTAAAGATTTTAAAAGTTAATCAACAATTTGAATTTTTTCAAGTCCCATTTGGTTTTTAAAAGTTTTCAGATCAAAATTACCTCCAGTTTACATATACTTGCCCCCAAGTTCTCTGATTCAGAAATAAATATTTTAGGTTTTAATAGTCCGGCAGTTTTCCAAGTCAGGTGAACTGGTCATCAAATTTTCTGATGTTCTGGCTTGTCTTAGGGATGCTTGTCTTAGAGCATCCCTCTGCTACTCGCATCTTCAAACTTTAGTGTTGAGAAATGCCCTGATGTATCTTGGTGATATGGTTTGGCTCTGTGCCCCCACCCAAATCTCATCTTGATTTGTAATCTCCATGTGTCAAGGGAGAGAGGTGATTGGATTATGGGGGCGGTTTCCCCCATGCTGTTCTCATGATAGTGAGGGAATTCTCACGAGACCTGGTGGTTTTATAAATGGTAGTTTTTCCTGCACTCACATGCTGTCTCTTTCCTGCCGCCATGTGAAGAAGGTCTTTGCTTCCCCTTTGCCTTCTGCCATGATTGTAAGTTTCCTGAGGCCTTCCCAGCCATGCAGAACTGTGAGTCAATTAAATCTCTTTTCTGTATAAATTACCCAGTCTTGGGCAGTTCTTTACAGCAGTGTGAAAATGGACCAATACACTTGGAGATTCGGAAACTGCTTTTTCTTTCACTGAATTTACCATTGTTTGTTTTTGCTTCATTCTGACCTCCTAAGTTTACGGTAAAATTTACTTCCACGGACATCTTGTTTACAGGTTAAGTTGCATTCTTGCTTGTTTATTTTCTTACAATGGCCCAATTCTGTTTACCTGTCTATATTGAAATAATGGGATAGAACACA